TAATTTACTGATTACAAAAAGCAGTACACTAACTTCTCATGCTCTGTTTTTTACTCAAAACTCATCTGCTGCTAAGAAAATGAAAAAAGAAAAAAAAACAACCACTGCAGCAGAACTTAGAAAATGTTCTGAATTCATTCTGATGGAACATGTCAGGATTCAGCAAGTGGTTCTGAGCTCATACTGAGGTTCTGTGCCTCACCTATGGACAACCTGGTGTGCATGCTTTCTTGGCACCGTATAGAAATGTATAATTTATAGAGCAAGGACGTTGTGAAAACTGCTGAGTCTAAAGAGTGCAGAAGTTGAAGATTGTGAGGAGATATTTACGTACATTGACAGAAGAAAAATATGAAATGGTGATTACAAGAGAAAATGTGCACTCTTTGACTGCAGCAGCTGCTTCATTCAGCAAAATCTCCACTTTTTATTTAGTTCATTAACTTAATGTATTTATTATCATAATGTGGGGTTTCTGGGTTTTTGTGCTATCTTTTCTGTATCCTCGTGTTTCATGCAGCTCTGTGTTCCTCCTCCTCATGGTTCAGTTCCTGTCTCACCTGTGTCTAATCTTAATCACTCCAGGTGTTTGTCATTCTGTCTCCTTAGTGTCTGTATTTATTCAGCGTCCCTGTGTCCTGTCATTTGTCCGTGGATTGTCCTGTGACTTCATGTTCTTCTGGTCCCTCTGTCATCTCCTCTTTAAGTAAGATTTTGGCTGCTCCGTCAGCTTTGTTTGTTTTGTCATAATAAATTTACATTACTTATTTTAGTTTTCTGTATTCAGCCTGCACTTGGGTTTAACATTTAAAAGCAGAAACATGATAGAATCCATGGACCATACTGAACCCAGCAGGATGATTTCTCTTTTTGAGTTTCTGCCCAGTGGGGCAAGGAGAAAAATGAGAGGAGGAGGTGAAGTCTGTCATCCGGTGGGGCGGTTTCCTGACAGAAGACTCCAGACCGGCCCGGAGACAAAGATGCCGCAGCCCGAAGGTTGAGATTCTCCCATCCCCTCTCTTGGTGGAAGAGGAGGAGAGCTCAGTTTAGTGGAAGGTGCTGGCTTTCAAGCCTGTTGTTCCTCTGCACCACCCCACTCCTCTCCAGCACCTCATCCCCCCCCCCCCCCACACACACACACACACACACTCACCTCCTGAGTTTCCCGAGTGGTCTCCAGGGGGAAGAGGGCACTCTTCAGTGTCCCACACTGATCCTCCTCATATCCCCCCTTATCTCTGCAGCAGTAGGGACTGACGTGGAACTGGACCAGATCTGTCAAACTCCAGCCCCTCCCTCCACCCGAGCCACTCCATGCCACCTGCCTGAATTCTTGCCTCATTCTGGGTAATCTCCGGGCCGCCTGCATGAACTCTTGCCTCGTTCAAGATGGTTTCTGGGCCGCCCACCTGAACGCCTGTCCCACTCTGGACAGTCTCCTGGGCATCCACTTTTACTCGTGGAGATTGGTGTTCTTTTATTTTGTATTGGTGTTACCCAGGTTCCTACCTGCCAATTTATTTATTTTTTTGGTCCTTGTGTTTCCCTTTGTGCTGTCAATCTTGTTTTCTCCCTCTTCCAACTCAAGGTGTATCTAGCTTCTTCCTTGGGATTTCAGGGGACATCCCTTGGGTGGGGGATACTGTGGGGTTTCTGGGTTCTTGTCCTGTCTTTTCTGTATCCTCGTGTTTAATGCACCCCTCAGTATTCCTCCTCCTCATGGTTCAGTTCCTGTCTGCCTTGTGTCTAATCTTAATCACTCCAGGTGTTTATCATTCTGTCTCGTTAGTGTCTGTATTTATTCAGCGTCCTTGGGTCCTGTCATTTGTCCGTGGATTGTCCTGTGAAGGCTTCATGTTTCTGTTCCCTCCATCATCTCCCCTTAAAGCAAGTTTTTGGCAGCCCTGTCAGCTTTGTAACCTAACTATAGCATTTAGCAAAAAGGAAAGTCTTAAGCCTAGTTTTAAAACTGGACAATGTGTCAGCCTCATGGACAGAGATTGGAAGTTGGTTCCACAAGAGAGGAGCCTGATAACTGACAGCTCTGCCTCCCATTCTGTTTTTGGAAACTTTAGGAACCACAAGTAAACCTGCAGCCTGAGAGCAAAGTGCTCTGTTAGGAAAATATGGAACAATAAGATGTGCATATAAGATTGAGCTAGGTTGTTGAGAGCTTTGTAGGTTAGAAGTAAGATTTTGAATTCTATTCTGGATTTGACAGGGAGCCAATGGAGAGAAACTAAAACTGGAGAGATATGATCTCTTCCACTAACTCCAGTTAAGACTCTGGCAGCAGCATTTTGGATCAACTGAAGACGTTTTAAAAACGTATTTGGACACCCAGATAATAAACCATTGTAATAGTCCAGTCCAGACGTGACAAATGCATGAACCAGTTTTTCTGCATCATTTTTAGATGTTTCTAATTTTAGTGATATTACGCAGGTGGAAGAAGGCAGTTCTAGTAACGTTTTTTATGTGGGGGACATAAGACATGTCCTGATCAAAAATAACCACCAAGATTTTTAGCATTAGAAACGTGATAAATACAGCTCAATAGTACTTACAGTCTGGCAGTCCTTCACACAGTCATTAAAAGCCTCTCATATTCTCGCTGCTTCATGTTTTGGATTTATCAGTTGATGTCTCAGTGGCTGCATCCATTATCGCCCGCTGCCGTGGAAGGAGGACACTGTGTTGTCACTGTGTGTGTAAGTTCATTTGTCTGTATGTTACCAAAAGTTCTCATGAACTGCTGAACAAGTTTTAATGAAACATCTAAAACTGATTACTTTTAAAATGGCCGCCTCACTTAGTTAATCAACTTTAGCAACCCCTCCAAAATGACTGTTCAGTAACCATAACCCATTCAGTCAATTTCGAGTGTATTGACGTTATATTTGGTGTAATAGTAGCTAGGGGGAGAAGGTGAGCCTGTGATCAGAGGGTCGCCAGTTCAATTCCCCTGACTGACATCAAAATATGGGTGGAAAAGGTAAAACCCACACTTTACTCCACCCTCACTTGCCCCAGTCTGGACCCTTGAGCAAGGCCCTTAACCCCCACCATCTGCTCCCCCATGTACCCTATATAGCAGCTCACTGCTCCACACAGAGGGCTGTGGTAGCTCGATGGTTTGTGGTTGAATCTGGATGGGCACCCGGTGTAAAAACAACTGCCAAGTCTTCATGCAAGTTAGTTCGCTGTGGCGACCCCTGAAGAAGGGAGCAGCTGAAAGAAGAAAAAATAATAATATGGTGTAGAAGTAGCTAAACCAAATTATTGGTGTTTCAGAGTCATCCTCATCACATGCTCTGACAGCATGCAAGACTCTTGTTTATAAGTTCAGGACAGAAGGCAGCAGCGATATGCATTCCTCTAAAGATAATTTTATATTTCGTATAGAATAGAAGCATTATTTATAAACAAATGTAACAGCCTTATATAAGAATCTTCACTGACTCGTAACCAAACCCGTTTAACGTCTGGATGTCAGGTTGATTAATACACTCAATCAGTGCTCACACTGAGGCAGCTGTTTTTACAGCGAGCTTTAGGTCAGCACATCTGTTGTCTGATCTAACTGAGGTAAATGTTGGAGTGAGGTCTGCTTGGTGACATGTCCACTCTCTTCTCTCCCAAGATAAGAGGTTACACGGGAGGACAGGCCTGAGAAAGACCACTGAGCCCTAACAGTCAGTGTGTGGGCATCATCCCAACGATAAAAGACGAGCACAGAACATAAGAAAATAACACAAGTATCAAAAATATCTACAAGATCACATTAAAAGTCCGTCAGCAAATGTTGACTAAAAATGGTTAGCTGATGTTAGGATCATAGCGGGTCACTACAGCTCTGTGATGTTTGTGTTTCTTCCTCCTGCAGCCCAAAGGCGGTCCTGTCATTTAATTTGTCCTTGACCAAAGTTGCTGACTCAGAGCTTCAGGGTGTCAAAAGGATTCACTGACACTGGCAGAAACACAGTCCCAAGCTTTCTGTGTGCAAATAATTCAAGAGCTGGACCAACAATTTATTGTCTGAAAGTTTTATTAAAATCCAACAGTTTCGTCCATAGATATCTATTTGTTTTCTTGCTCTCTTTAAACTCTCCCGGGCATGATGTAGTTTTTAGTTTGATTATTGATGCATTGCTGCTCACTTCAGGACAGAACTGTGCTAATCATAAAACATGCAGTAGTCGGTTTGTACTAATAAATAAGTTTGGTTCATGCAAATTAAAAAAGCATCATATATTTTTTTAAATTAATCTTAATCCAGCCTCTGTCTTTTGAATGTTGTGTAATGTTTCTACACATGGTTATTGTTGCACCGTTCAGAGCATGACAACAGTACTTGATCCTGACACTTTGGTGTTTTAAGCAGGTTGAAAACAATGTTGCTGTCGAACCACGTGTTGCTGAGGAAATTGTAACCTGGTTCTGGTGCTTGTTCCTGCAGTGGAAACAGAAGGGGTGAAGAACGGCCCTAAAAAATAACCTGGTTCCTCAAAAAGGTTCCTGAAGTTGAAATGCAGCATTCATGAGATCTCCATGTGATTATCTAGTCTTACACAAAGATGTCTTGTAAACTCTATCTATGATTGGCTTTAAATGAAATTTCAGTAACAGTAACACACACCGTGTGTTACTATAAGAGCTTTGATTTTTTTTTTTTTTTTTTACTGTGTTGCATGTAGGTCTGAAAGGGCAGTCTTTGGTAGGAGGCAATGGACATCTTATATTTTGTTAAAGGCATTTGCTGTTAAAATAGATCCATTTTGTAAATATAGGGAGAGGCTAATAAAAGGACAGACGGAACCCATAAAGCAGCTTCGACAGATACATATGCCCACTTACACAAACATAAATCCAAAGATAACAAAAAATAGACAGTTGTCTTTACATGTGCACAATGGGTGTGTTTTTAAAAGGAACTGAAAAAGGGAAACTGCTGTGGAGTCACTGAAGGAGGTTTAACATTAAATTTCTTCACTTCCCTGCCATTCTTCCGCACAAAAATGTGTTTTCCGTGCTGAAAGAACACCTGCGCTCCTCCTCCGTGTCTGAACAGTCAGAGGCTGCTCTCGGTGAGTTTTAGTTCAGCACAGCCACAGTTTTTGTCCTTTCCACCCACAATCATCTCGTCCTCACAGGGTAAAGCTGAGGACTTGAGGGACTCAGCCATCACCATGTTGATGTCCTGGCCAGACGTCACCATTGCTTTGCGGTAGCACTTCCTCAGCCCCTGCTGGAAAGGGATTGTGAACAGGCCGTAAATAACCGGATCCAGGCAGGTGTTGAAAAGCCCAAAAATAAACAGAATGTGGGTGAGGGAGTGGGAGACTTTTCCTTCCAGATCGTCAGGAAAGAACCAGTACCACAGACCCAACAGGTAGTACGGAGTCCAGCACACTATGAAGGAGATCACGATGACAATGCTCATTTTCAGAGTTCTCATCCGAGCTTTTGGGATGTTGTTCTTTGAGCATCGGAGATGTGGTTCTTCTGAGGACGCTGCAGGAAAGACGGAGAGTTATTTTGATGTGACCATCATCAATGTTTGGACACAATACAACAAACTAAGTGTATAAGTGTATAAGTTAGCCTTTTAAAGTTAAAATTAAACATTACAGATATCTGATAGGATATCATCAGCCAAAAAGAAAAATAGATGGTGAACTTTCATTTTGGAGTTCTACTGTTTCAAACCTAGAAACATGATGCAAAATGTCCAGATTTATTGGCAGTAACCTGAGGAAGCTATAATTACTAATAAAACTGGACTGGTGTTCAGTTTCAGGTCAAGTTGTACAGTGATCAGGAGCCTGCTGGGTAACTGTGAGGGAAGTAGTAAGCAGGACAGAAACTGGAAGAAGGTAGGTAAACCAGCAACATTTTATAGTTAGTTACACAGCAACAAAACTACTAAGGTCATCAGTCAGGTCTTAGCAACCCCCTTCGTCTTTCCCATTTTCCAGGCTTTGTTTGCGCTCTTTTCTCTGTGGAAGTGGATATTAACTGTAATGTGTGCACTCACGGCTTCTATTTGTCATGCGCTTGGAGATCTGGATGAAGATCCTGGTGTAACAGATGATCATGATGGCCAGTGGCAGCAGGAAGAGGCAGCAGAATGTGAACATGTTGTAGGCCGTTTCTTGCCAGCGGGTGTCGAAGCTTCCCCTGGTTGTGCACTGAGTGAAGTTTGCTGGATATGTAATGGTCACGTTGTGAAAAATGAACATCTGTGGGATTAACAGTTAAGAAACATCAGATTTTATTTGGTGATTTTTTTTTTTGCTTTATAACTCAGGGAAACAATGAACTTGATTCAGGTTAATACATAAATAATACAGGACATAAAACAGTCAGCTTTAATTCAATTCAATTCAGTTTATTTATATAGCATGGACAGAAACGGGAAGTTGGTACCACAAGAGAGGAGCCTGATAACTGAAAGATCTTCCTCCCATTCTGTTTTTGGAAATTCTAGGAACCACAAGTAAACCTGCAGCCTGAGAGCGAAGTGCTCTGTTAGGAAAATATGGAGCAATAAGATCTGTAATATAAGATGGAGCTAGGTTGTTGAGAGCTTTGTAGGTTAGAAGTAAGATTTTGAATTTTATTCTGGATTTGACAGGGAGCCAATGGAGAGAAGCTAAAACTGGAGAAATATGATCTCTCCTATTAACTTCGGTTAAGACTCTGGCAACGGCATTTTTGATCAACTGAAGACGTTTTAAAGAAGTATTTGGACACCCAGATAATAAACCATTGCAATAGTCCAGACTAGATGTGACAAATGCATGGACCAGTTTTTCTGCATCATTTTTAGATAATGTGTTTTTAATGTTAGTGATATTACGCAGATGGAAGAAGGTGGTTCTAGTAACATTTTTAATGTGGGGGATAAAAGACATGTCCTGATCAAAAATAACACCAAGATTTTTAACATTAGAGCTGGAGGACAGATTAATGCTATCTAAGGAGGGAGAAAGACTGAAAAATTAATTCCTAAGGTGCTCAGGTCCAAAAACCAAAACCTCAGTCTTGTCTGTGTTCAACAGGAGAAAATTAAGGGTTATCCAAGTTTTTATGTCTTCAAGACATGCTTGTAGTCTAAGTAGATGATTGGATTCATTGGATTTAATGGACAAATATAATTGTGTGTCATCAGCATAACAATGAAAATTTATCCCATGCTGTTTAATAATTTTACCTAATGGAAGCATATATAAAGTAAAGAGTATTTGCCCAAGCACTGAGCCCTGAGGAACTCCATGACTAACTTTGGTGTATGAAGATTTATTATTTACATTTACAAACTGGATTCTTTCAGATAGATATGATTTAAACCATTTTAGAGCTGTTCCTGTAATTCCAACATCATATTCAAGCCTCTGTAGTAAAATATTGTGATCAACTGTATCAAATGCAGCACTGAGGTCTAACAGGACCAGTATAGACACAAGTCCATTGTCTGAGGCCATGAGAATATCATTAGTGACTTTTACTAGTGCTGTTTCTGTGCTATGATAAGCTCTAAACCCTGATTGAAACTCTTAAAACAGATTACAGATATGAAGCTGAAATCTGGTGTTATAGTAGCTGAGAGTCAACCTAGTACTTTGAGTGCTACACAGTGCACAACATTTTAAACTTTGGAATTGGTGGAGTAAACCATACCTGACTGTTAGCAAAATACCTCATGAACCACTGGACAAATGGTGAAACTCAGTGAGTTCTGCTTTTTCTGCAGTGATTTTTGCCATAATCAAATCCTTTTGCTTCTCACAAACTTCTGCTTCCTGATCGAAGAGCAGAGTTTTACAGGGAGCCTCATTTGAAACATAAATTAAAGCTATTATTTGCTGTGACATATTTTACATATCCTTTTTTGTACTAGATCATACTAGATGTGCTACCGCTTCTGTGACTAACAGCAAAGGGTTGAGGTTTATTGATAAAACCTGATAAAAATGTTTATTATTTTGATGCCTACAAATTAAATTATTAAAGTAAGCTCACTAGCTACTGTTAGCATGAAGGGAATTTGCATTAACGTTAGTTTAAATGAATAGTGAAGTTCACACATGTTTGTTGAATGTTTTGTTACAACTGTGCTGATAAAAGTTGTTTGGTACGTTACCATACCATAGCATTTTATTTATAGAGCACTTAAAACAGCGACAAGGCCAACCAAAGTGCTGTACAGACAAAACAACAGGTAACTCACAAAGCAAAATACAAAATGAAGTAAATCAGAAATATAGACATAAAAACGATGCAGATAATGACGACAAACCAGTGTGGAGCATACAGGTTCAAAACACAGATCATCTGGTGTTGAATGCTACTGAATAGTAGTGAGTTTTTAAACGGGACTTGAAAACCAAGAGGGAGGGGGCCTGTCTGACAAGCAGAGGTAACTCGTTCCAGAGTCTTGGTCCTGCTACAGAGAAGGCCCTGTCACCTCTGCGCTTAAGACGAGTTCCCGGAACTGTGAGGAGCAACTGGTCCGCTGACCTCAGGGAACGTGGTGGGACATACGGTTGTAGCAGATCAGAGAGATAATTGGGGGCGAAACTGTTCAGTGATTTGTAGACATAGATGAGTATTTTGAACTGGATTCGAAAGTGAACCGGTAACCAGTGCAGTGAGGCCAAAACTGGTGTAATGTGCCCTCTTTTGCCTGTACTGGTTAAAAATCAGGCTGCTGCATTCTAGACAAGTTGTAGTCATGCTATGGAGGTTTGACTGATACCAAACAGGAGCGAATTGCAGTAATCAAGCCTATATGTAATGAATGCATGTATTACTGTCTCCAGGTTATTTTTGGACAATATGGGCTTCAGTTTAGACAGCCGCCTCAGTTGGAAGAAACATGATTTAACAATCATGTTTACATGATTGTTAAGTTTCAGGGAAGGGTCCATTATCACTCCCAGATTAGTGACTCTTTGTTTTTCTGACAGGGTTAGAGCGGAGAGGTCGATACAGTGGTTTGTGATCGTGTCGTTGGGAGGGAACAACATGACTTCAGACTTCTTTTTATTGAAACTTAAGAAATTTAAAGCCATCCAGTCCCTGATGTCAGCCAGGCAGTCGAGCAGAGGTTGAATAGAGCATGTGCCATTGTGTGTTAGGGGGAAGTAAATTTGACAGTCATCGGCGTAGAAGTGGAAGGGCATGTTGTGTTTCCGGAAAATAGCACCAAGCGGCAGCAGGTATAGAGAGAATAGGAGGGGACCCAGGATGGACCCCTGCAGAACCCCCCATTTAAGCTCTGCCACTGCAGAACTAAAATCCTTGATGGAGACACAAAAGGATCTGTCAGTGAGGTAAGATCTGAACCAATTGAGGGCTGACCCTGTGATGCCCACCCACTGCTCCAACCTAGCAATGAGGATCTCATGGTCAATGGTGTCAAAGGCAGCAGTGAGGTCCAACAGGACAAGCAGCACAGAATCACCAGTATCTGTGGTTAAGAAAATGTCATTAAAGACCTTAAGCAGGGCAGTTTTAGTGCTGTGGAGAGGTTTAAAGCCAGATTGGAATAGCTCTAAGATGGCGTGACCCTCCAGGAAGCACTTCAACTTAGTTAGTATTTCTGCTTTTAGTTTTGCAGCTTTCATTGGTTAGTGAGGGGAAATGCATCATTTTTAGGATTCAGAGTTGTTTCTCCATTTTCATCACAACTTGTCAGTTAGTAGATTGCAAGCTGGAGATCTGGATCTTCATTCATTAATGTGTCATATTTTCATCCTTTTTTTTTTTATTCTACCATCTCATAAACTAAGACATGCAAACAGAATGAATAAAGTAAGAATGTTTTCTCTTTTTTCAGAAAAATACAGAAAATAATAAAACTAAAGAGGATCACCGGGTTTGCTTTGTGTTGTTTTTCTTTTGCAGGATTAATCGTACACACTTAACGAGAGGGCTTTCATTGAACTCATTTCATCTGGAGTTCTACATCAATCTGTTTTTTTTATTTTTATTTTTTGAATGTTTGTTTATTCATCTTATGACAGAGAGATAAATCAGCTCTATTTTGTTCTTCAGCAGAATAACATACTCCCATTTCTTTGTCAAGGACTAAAAACACAGGCATAATGTTGATACCAACGTTTTTGGGAAAACATATTTGCATTATATTTCAATTTTTTTTTATTGTGCATTTTCAACAGTTTTCCCTTTAGTCACAAAAACATGAAGATTTTTATGTGCAGGTTGGTCATTCTGATAAAACTGTTGAATTAAATCCACTAAATTTAAGCAGAAACATAGAATGAACTCTGATGTCAGTGTATGTTTTCTAAATGTACGGACTGCTCAAAGGGTATTTTTTACTGTAAGCCACGTTCATCCACTCATACCCACATGAACATAAAAGTTGTGATTTTAAACCACGGCACCCAGGACACAACTCTCCCAATCATCTCGCTCTTTATTCGCTCTGCTTACTGCAAGTAAAAAAAAAAAAAAACTTTTCATCTCTCCAGGAAATGTTCACACACCCCTCATCAAAGATATTCAAAGACTGCAGCATCATCGTCTTGCTTTCAGTGGAAAAACAAAGAAAAGCACTGTACAATCTTCTCAAGAGTATTTAGAAACTAAGAGCCTAAATTAGAGGTTTGAACCTCAATAACCTTTTTGTATTTAGTACTTGAAAGATTTTACTGGTCACTAAAATGCTGTTTAATTGCTGCACACTCACCACTCCAGTTTGTCACAAAATAAATGCAAAACAACAAAGATGTGGTTCACTGCTTAACAAAGCTGAACAAATGAAATTTATTAATCTAAAGATGTGAAGAATCTCAACATTTACTTGAGAAATGGTGTTCTCCTTTAGCATTAGTGCCTGAAACCATTATTAAACTAGGGTTCATCGCTCTCATTTCACATATCACTCTGTCTTTGTGTTAAACTTGAGACATGTTTTCTGGCCGTGTTTGTGTGTACAAAATCAAAATCATGGTCGAGGATCTGGAAGCAAACAGGAAATTGATTCCAGAGCAGAGAGGCTGAAACCCTCAAAGCTTTGCCTCCCCGTCTCATTTCAAAGATTCTTAGAAGATCAAGTAAACCTGGATGCTGGCAGTGGAGCGATGTCTTGTGAGAGGATAAGGAGTAAGATGTTCTTTGAAATATGTTACCAAACTGTTTGAGGCTTTGTTTGTAATGAGAAGGATCCTGAACATTACAGGCAGCAGGTGTTATGATGTCACAAACTTGTAAAGAAGATTTTCTGTAGCTCTTTGGGATAAGACAGGAGGGTGTGGATCACATTTATAACATCCGTCTGATTCCAGGGGAGCATCGTCGCTGTCTGGGAAACAGGTTCTCAAAAAATGTTCACGAATCAGTAAAATATACTAATTTACTTTGGGTCCTCCTGCAGAACGGTTTATTGCTTCAATGACTCTGGCAAATGCCAGAGTCACACACGATTGCCTCATTTTATTAATATATAGACATAAGGAGACATGGAGAATGATTAATGGTGTGTATTTTAATGTCATGATAAATGTTAATATACCCTAACACACATGCCCTGAGTATTCTTTAAGGAAAGAGAAGTTTCCGTTCTGCTAAAAGCACAATGGATCAGTGGTTAGCACTGTTGCCTCACAGCAAGAAGGTCATGGGTTCAATCCCCAGTTTGAACCTGGGGATCTTTCTGTGTGGAGTTTGTATGTTCTCCTCATGTTTGGGGTGGGTTTTCTCTGGGTAGTCCAGTTTCCTCCCACAGTCCAAAAACATGTTAGACTGCCTTCAGGCCCAGGTCTCCCTTGAAGAAGAGATCTGTGATCTCAGAGGGATCTGCCTCGTTAAACAAAGGTAAAATAAATAAAACACATAAATTAACCCTGAATCCTACTCTTCTAAGTTAAGGTAAGCTGTCATGTAGCCTCACCTGTGGGACTGAGAGCAAGGCGCTCATGATCCACGCCACCATCAGCATCATCCTGTTCCTTCTTGGGGCCATGCTGATGGTCAGAGGGTTGAGGATGGCCGACTGTCGGTCCAGACTTATCACCACTGTCACAAAGGCACAGGAGTACATGGCCAGCAGCTTGAGGAACATCAGGACTCTGCAGGCCAGGTCTCCAGCCAGCCACTGGACCGTGATGTTCCACGCTGCGTCCACGGGCATCACGATGAAGGTAACCAACAGGTCTGCCGTGGTCAGGTTGATTATCAGCACACGGACGTGGGACTTTCGCTTGTGGCTGTTGGCAGCCCAGAGCACAGCCAGATTGCAGAGGGTGGAGACGCCGCACAGGATAAAGGTGATGATCACTCGGACTTTTGCTGCCGTGGAAAAGGTGGGCAGCTGAGGGGCCCTGTCCACCGACATCCAGTTACAGTGTGGTGCCAGTGTATCACAGCTGGCGTTGAAGTCGGACCCTGAGCTCTGCTGATACATGATGAATGGAGGGTCCCAGCAGGAGGAGGTGTTCATCTTCTGACCCTCAGCCAGGAGTCGGCATGCTGCTCAGCTGCAGCCAGGCTTGGGTTGCTACAGGAAGAAAAAACAGATGAAAATGATGCAAACTGCATGTTAAGAAAAACAGACGTAAGACACTGGCTGACAGGGACGGAGCTACGGACCCAATCGCCGCTAGTACTTTTATAAAAATGAATTGTTAAAATCACCTTGTGAGGCTTTCTCATCTCTCTGAAGAAAGTCTGCTCAGCTTTTCTTTTTTTTTTAATAAGATATGACACAGTCTTCTAAATTCAGCAGACAGAATCAATTTAAAAAGGCACCGAAACTAAATCAGTTGCACAATGTGTGCGTTTTTAACATAAGCGTGGAATAAAACCAGAGTCAAGACGTGCATTATGTTGAAACAGGTTTAAACTGGCAGCTTACCTTACACAGAAACCTTAACAGGGATGCTGTGTGAGAATTTAAAATGTCCACAAACTCACCGAGCTGCTGAGTCCTGAGATCAGATGGAATTAGATTACCGGTAAATTATAAGCTGCGGTCCCAGATGCAGCTCCATCTCTGTGTCAGGCTGCGTGTTTTCTGAGTTCCCCATCGTCACAGTCTCCCCCAAGCAGATGCGTCCCTGCCTCCCCCCAGCCCCCACCAAAACAAGGTTTCCTGATGCAGCTTCTCTCTCCGCTGTGCGCGTGTCAGCGCTGGCTCTGAAAGTGCACGCCCCTCAGTCTCTGCATCCTCATGAGCATCGGTCAGCTCAATGAAGGGTCTAATTTTATCCCCGCCAGGAGAAATGTTATTAGGCTCTGCTGCTGTTCGCAAACCCAAACCTGCTCTTGCTAACTCAGGTCACCGAGTCTGCAGAGGTTCAGGACTCTGATGTCTGGGCTGAACTCTTGGGATCTGTCATTAAAAGGTACTAGGAATAAATAACTAAATAAAATACAACAAATAAGGCTTAAATTGTCTAATTAGTGACAGGTATGAAGTATCTGGAGTGAAGGCAGGGCTGTTAAGGGTTAAGGTACATCAGATGGTCAGAGAGAGGATGGTGGGAAACAGGTTAGCTGTGTTTTGGGGGGGCGAGGGGGGGGCTGTTTGCCACTTTTCGTCATAGTCAGTTTTTCTGTTATTTATTTAGTTCATTGGGTTTATCTTTTAGTTGTATTCCCTCTTGTGGGTTGTGTTTTATTGTTCTGTCTTTTGGTTCTGTTACTTGTGTGTTTCCTGTCAGTTTAGATCTTCATCAGTTGTTTTTGAACGTCATTGTTTTGTTTGTTTCGTCGTTCTGTTTCAGAGTATTCCTTGTGCCGTCTCTCATTTCCCCTCAGTCAGCTTCTTTAGCGTTAGTCTGCCACCCTCACCTGTCCCCAATCAGCAATCAGCCCTGGTGTGGCCATTTTCCCATTGATCTCTGCTGTCCCTATTCAGTCTGTTTCACCACTCATCTCTTCTGCATCGTACCAGCAACAAACCAGTTCTGCTTGTTCCACTTTGGAGTAAGCTGTTGGGGGAAGAATCAGTGTTGTTGTGTGTTTCCTTGACTGATGAAGCCTTCCGGATCAAAGGTGAAACGTTTCAGCACAAAAAAAAAAAACTGTCCAGATGACCCGACTGAAAAATGTTGGATTATATATCTGGATTATTGAACATGGACTTTGTTGTTTTTGGTTTAACCTTCAAGCTCCTCACGTCGGTCTGCATTTGAATACAATCCTTCACAAACCCAACACATTTTGTGTAACATGCCAGTAAAGATGTTAGACATGCGGAGCTGTTTCCTGCGCCTGGAGGTTGGGGGGGGGGGGGGGGGTCTTCATCCTAATGCTTCATCTTTCATCCTGGGGGTGCAGGTTTAAGCAACAGTTCAGGTTTGGTGTCATATTAGTGACTGGAACTGTGCAGCCTTGTGTTTGGTGTGAAATTACTTAGTTGTTTCTTGCTGGTTGCTCCTCTGCCATCGATGGGACCCTTTTGTTGTTGTTTTTGGCTGCTTTGCTTCCATTTTGTGTCTGTTTTAAGGCCATTTAGTGGCTCATGGATAAATCGGGTGCTTTCAGTTAGATAAGCTGCATTAGGACTTCTAAATAATTTAAAAAAATTAATAAAGGGCTTATGGTTGAGACTGCCTTTTTGTGTTAGTGTATGGTCTGAAATGTGTGCATTTTCTCTTTTAATAAAGGTCGTGACAGCATTAGACAGACACACTGAATCATTAACAATATAGGAAACAAAATGTTACTAAAATATATGTAGGAGCATAACTTCAACTTTTTTTTTTGTTGACTTTGACTTTATCAAAGATGAATCTGTTTGAAAGTCTTGGAGAAGATGTGAAATTGCAAAAGATGACACTGAACCCACAAGTATGAAATCTGCAGAAACAGTCCTATGGGGGTTACTCTGAACTAGTAATAAAATTGTTGCTTTTGTGTTTTGGATTTTGACAATATGCAAACTGAACTGTACTTCTTGATTTTTAAAGAGATTGATACAGTGAAATCAGAACTGCACTGCCTTGCATGCCAACATTTTAAAAATAAGGATTTGAGCAACCTGCTCAGAGTTCAGTATGTGTTGGGGAAGACTCTCGGCTTCTACCTCACCAAGTTCTAGCTCCATCTGGACATTTGATTGTATGAATTACAGTTATGAAGATATGTGATTTTTTTTTTTTTTTTTTTTTTTTTTGTGTGTGTGTGTGTGTGTTTTTTTCTGCCTGTGTGAGATCCCAGCATCGAGAGGTTCCAGTCTGTCCCACTGGGATCGTTTCAGGATTTTGATTTCTTGGTGTGTGTGAGCACATCAGGTCTCAACGGGAGCTGTTGTTGCAGGCAGTTTCCACATCTCCCTCTTTAGATTTGTACTCTTCCCACAAGTGTTTATTGAATCTGTGAAATTCTATCTGAACAGTTTTGTCCTGTCTCTGAACAGCAAGGGGCTCTGGGAAAATCTTTCGCCAAAGGCTCTTTTTATGTTACATCAAACCAGATCGTGCGAGATAAAACAAAAGGATTCAGTTTTATTGAATAAAGCCTCCGCTACAATATCCAACATAGTATATTAACCTTCCTGTAGCGTTAGCTTTCTGTTACTATCCATGGTGTTCGGGGTTAATTTTGACCCCAATCTTAAAATTAACAAAATAATTCAGTCAAAATGTTTTTTTATTGCAAAATTTATTTCATAACTCTTGGTTATTTTATTAGGCTTCGTTTCCATAAAAATAACAACAACAAATGTTGAATATTTTCAGTGTGGCATCACATGCCTTTTTTCAGCTTTCATCTCATTTTCAATAGACAAATAAAAAGGTAAAATGAACCCCAACAGAATGATATAAATAAATAATTGCTTATTATGTTATCTGACAGTTACTGAGGAGTATTAGAACACATTTCTTGAATAAATTTAATGTATTTGATTTTTAAAAATTATTACAACCAGAGTAACATCTATTGTGTTGGGGTCAGAATTGATCCCTTTGTTTACTTCAAGAAAAGGCAACAATTTTCTGCTCAACGTGTGGCTTGGTATGAGCTCCTCCAGAAATATCCTCTGCTTGTTTTTGGTTGAGTTCCACCCATGATGGATGTGGATACACCACACAAATGCATTGTATGCTGACACAACCAGGATGTTAAAAAAACACAACCATTGGCCATCTTCTGGTCATTCGCTGCCAAGTAGGTGACAGTCAACCTGTCCAGGTTATCCACACCCCCTTTGTTTTTTTGTAGTCCAGTATAATTATGGGCTTTCCATCACTTTGTGATGACACAGCAGCATCCTGATTTTTATGCCATATTTTCCTGGCTTACTTGGCATACTGGTGGAAGAGGCATTTTAATTCATTTCAGTTTTTTTATATAGCGCCAAGTCACAACAGAAGTCACCTCAGGGCACTGAACAGAAACATTCATACATAAAAATAATAATTTAACATTATTTATCTGAGGAGCAGACTGCTTTGAGTTTAACTCCATCACAGACTCTCATCTTGAGCAAGCATGAAGGCGACAGTGGAGAGGAAAAACTCCCTCATGAGGAAGAAACCTTTAGCAGAACCAGGGTCAGGACAAGCGTCCATCTGCTTCAACCGGCTGGGTTTGAGAGGAACAGGAAGGAGGAACAGATACACAATGGCAGGTCAAGAATCACATGTTAAGATAGAAATAGTATAAAATGAAAACTATTCAATTGCAACAATTCATTTAAGGAAATGAGGTCAATTTGTCCTCCAGTAGTCTAAGCCTATAGCAGCATAACAAGCCAAACCTAACTATAGGATTTATCAAAAAGGAAAGTCTTAAAACTGGACGTCAGCCTCACAGACAGAAACTGGAAGTTGGTTCCACAAGAGAGGAGCTTGATAACTGAAAGATCTACCTCCCATTCTGCTTTTGGAAACTCTAGGGACCACGAGTAAACCTGCAGTCTGAGAGGGAAGTGCTCTGTTAGGAAAATATGGAACAATAAGATCTCGAATATAAGATGGAGCTAGGTTGTTGAGAGCTTTGTAGGTTAGAAGTAAGATTTAGAATTTTACACAAAAAGGGACAAAATGTTCATCACCTGTCACCTCTGGCCCTGGTTGAACATCACTGGAAGAAGTTCCACCCATCTCTCCCAAACATCCCGAATGGGAGCAAGCTTGTCAGATTTCACAGGTGAAAAAAGAAAACCCTAAAATAGGACTCAGGGTGGAAAAAGAGCTGACTGCCAGTGGGCTGAGGGCTAACAGTGTTAGTGAGGTAAAAGTGCATCAGTTTGGGCAAAATGTATTGTTTTAAAAATATTTATAACAACGAGGTCAAAACTGAACCCAACATAATTTTTACCAGAGTATTTTAAAATCAAATGAAGTTGGATGTTTTGGCTTTATTTTACGAATACAGAGGTTCCTGACAAAGTCCAAAAATCTTGATGCAATAAACAACATTTATGTGGTATTTTTATTCGTTTAAAAACTGAATGAGGTCGGTGCTGACCCCAACACCATAGGAAGATTAAACAAAATTATTAAC